GGAATCAGGACTGATGCGGTTATAATAGATTTCTCAAAGGCATTCGATTTAGTCCCACACGATAGGCTGATTACAAAAATTGCTGCAACCGGTGTGGACTTGAGGGTAGTGTTATGGGTAAAGGAATTTCTCTTAGGACGTTCGCAAAGAGTAAGAGTGGAAGGACAGCTATCTCATGAAGTCAGGGTAACGTCAGGAGTGCCGCAAGGGAGCGTATTAGGTCCCTTGCTATTCCTAGCTTATGTTAATGATATTTGGAAAAACATTGATTCAAATATACGGCTTTTCGCTGATGATTGTATAGTATACAGGAAAATAATGGATAGTAGTGACATTGATAAGTTACAGACAGATATGAATACTGGATTCTGATTCCGTCTTCAGGGAAAAAATGGGGGGAGGGGGTAAAAGGGACGGAAAGCCTATGTTGGTCCCCTGATTGAGTTAGCCTCAGGTCAGGTCGAGCTCCCGAAACGTTATAGTTTTTAAAATTTTATAATTTATACGATGGACAAAGTGAAAAGAAAACAGTTTTGCATATTACAGCGCACCATCATCAAAAACCTTCAAACATAGACTAGCTATCTATTGTTTACTGACAGCTTATTTAATGAAGCTGTCGGAAGCTGAGGCCATCGGTCCATAGCGTCGAATAATGAAATGTTTAATGAATACTGAATTATACAGGTTGTTGAAAGAAGCGGTCGTGGCCTGTTTAATGCACTGACATGGTGTTTTCCTAGAGGCACCAGAGGAAAACGACTAAGAACTTAGCTCAGGACAGCCGGCTTCCTGACCGAGATTTTAACCCTGGAACTTCCGAATTAGAAGCAGTCGTAGTAATTACGCCGCCGCGGCATAGGCTATTTGTGGGTCTCATTCAAATAAAATGCGTTTCACATGTTGATTACAGGGAGGTAAAGCAAATCAATTAGCACCGTTTGTAGTGAAACCCTTGCATTCGGCAAGTGCTTGACATTTAATCTGAAATCACTTTCCAACTTTCGACGTCCTATGGTCTTTATCAACTTGCAATTCAATATCGAAAAGAAGTTGGCTGTCGATACACAATCACTGAACTGAATTATATCCTTAGCCACTGGTTTTTTGTATGGGGCTTGCTTATAGCCTTATAGAATCTAATGGGAAGGGGAGGGGGTTTGAAGGAGTAATGCATTAAACATTTCTGTGGGTTAGAATATAAGGTTAATGGTATATGAGACGAACTGTTCTACTGTTCAGCTGAGTGAAGAGGACGCTATCCTGAGCCCTGTGAATGCAGCAATGGCGATTTAGTGGACAACTGTGAAGACCCGCCAGAGTCTCATTAATGATACGATCTCAGCTTTCGTCATTTCAGACGTAAACCTTTCGGTCCTTTCCTTATTTTGCAAGGACAACTTTAAAATGGATCTTAAATAAATACGATGTGAGGACGTACGATGGATTCGTCTGGCTCAAAATATGGTCCAGTAACGAGCTCTTGTGAACATGGTAATTAACCTTAGAGGACCATAAAGAGACGGGGAGATATTCTTGACCAGTTGAATGACTATTAGCTTTTTTAAGAAGGGCTGTTACATGTAGATAGTTATAGAGAAAGACAGGCTTCCTGTATTATTTCTGAGTGTTTCCCTCCGCCTGACATATTTAATAGCTTTCGAACCAAGGGATTGAATTTTAAGAACTTGGTATAAACATTGTGGCACTGAATGCTACCCAACGTTTTTGCTTTTTGATTCATAATCACCAATATTACACCCTCACAGTAACACGTGAGAGGCCAAGGCAACGTTTTGTAATCGATATTCAGCTTTCCGTCTGATCGACATTGAAACTGCCCTGTTACTGAAATAGATCATGAACCAATGTACTTTGAATAGAACTCTCTTTGTATTTTAAACGTCACAAACATTCAAGAGAATATCTCAGGAAAACTAAGCGTAGATGAGGGGATAATATTAAAATCGATCTTAACGAAACAGTGTGTATAAGGTTGTGGACTGAATTCAGTTGCCTCTAAATAGGTCCCGACAACAGCCTATTGTGGACACAGAAATGACGGCTTTCTGATGTGATTATATCCACTTCCCCAATCGAGTAATCTTTAATAATAAGTAAAAATACTTTTGTCGCATTGTTTCCAGACATATTTAATGTACATCGGTCACCAAAAGCAAAGACCTGTCACAAGACGTAACCTACAAATTATATTAAAACAGACGGATTGAAAACATTTCATTAATTTCGTTGTGAAGCTCGTGTATGTTTGTTGTGGTTGTTCCTTTGGTAAAACACGGAAAGTTACAAGTTTTGGAGTTTGTAATTTCATTTCAAAAGTTGTCACTATTTTAAATTAAACTTCGTTCTCCGAATAAGACACTTGCTTTCACTCTTTAGTTCTATTGTTGTTCTCGGTTTTTCATTTTTCATTTTTGTCCCGTGTGACAGCATCATTAACTAGACCGAATACACTTGAATTAGCAATCATGCAACGAAGTCGATTTAGCACACACCATACCAAACCTTTGTTATTGTATGACGAACAAAAATGGATGCAACATTGTGTCTGGTAACCTTTTTTTCGGAAGGAAAATACAGATTAATTACTGTGTGTACATCGTAACGCCACACGTTAATACAGACCTACCTAATTTATTACCGGTAGTTCGTCAGTGATAGCACGCAAACCGATAACTATCATCTTTGTGGACTACTATTACAAGGTAAACCCCACGATCTGAATTTTATGAAGCCATTTTGGTCTTTGTGTGTGGGTTTCCTAAAAAAAGAGGGAGGGGAGGAAAAGTGGAGAGGTAGAGAAACACTACGTTTGCACGGAGGGTTAATGGATTTTTGCCGGCTCTGAACGTTAGTCCTTCTGATAAACGTAGATTGCAGATAAATAACCGTCCGAAAGTTGTCGAATTTGTGTCTAGGTAGCAGCAACTCTTTTAAATTTTTATTGTTTTGCTGTATTGGGGTTCTGAAAAAACAGTACTTATTTATTTATTCCATGGAGCGGAGTCCTTCCTGAGAAGCAAACATTCCCTCAGCCACCCAAGAAATTCCCAACATTTTATGGAACCCGAAGGTTCATTACCGTGTTCACAAAAGCCCACCACTGGTCCCTATCCTCAGCCATATGAATCCAGTCCATACCACCCAATCCTGTTTCTCTAATATAAATTTTAACAATATTCTCGCAACTACGTCTATGTCTTCCTAGTGGTCTCTTTCCTTCTGGTTTGCCCACCGAAACCCTGTATGCATTCCTCTTTTTCTTCAAAGCGAGCTACATTCCCTGCTAGCCTCATCCTCCTTTACATGATCAGTATAATTATATTTGGCGAAGAGTAAAACTTAGAAAGATCCTCAGTATGCACCGTTCTCCATCCTCCTAGTATTTCATCGTTCTTAGCACCCTGTTCTCATACACCCCCAGTCTATGTTCTTCCCCCAGTGTCAGAGACCAAATTCCACACCCATCTCTGCGTTTACTTCTAGACCAACCTCCTTACCAAAGCCAATTAGAGCTTCTTCGAGGTGCATGTCTTTCCTGAAGTGTCTATAGCCAGAGACTGTGGCCTGCTTTCGCGTACTTTGTACGTCGTGCTTATAATGCGCATTTGTCCATTCATTCGTTATTTGTCCAGTAGATCTGTTGTGATTTTTTTGTGAGTATATCAAATGAAATTATTTAATAAATTACTTTTTAACTTCAAGGTTTTTGTATTTAAACTAAATTACTTTTTTATATTTTCAGATTTAACTAGGATAAATTTGAATCAGTTTTTCATAAACATAATCATTATTATAAAAGTGACATCTTTCTCCTCTTTTAATGGTCCTTGTGAAAGAACAAACTTGTATTAAAAATTATTGTAATATAATGTGAAAATATTCGTTCAGACCTTTTTTTCCGGCATAGTGCTCCGAGATAACCCAGTTTCCATACCCCGATAGAGAATGCTAGAGTACCGGTAGAAATAAAATTCTACTTTCACCACTCGTTTGCGGTATTTTTAACACCTATTAGCTGAAGAGTCCAGAACAGGGGTCGGCAAACATTTTTCTAAAGGACCAGATAGTAAATATTTTAGGCTCTGCGGGCCAAGAGGCAAACTCGAGGATATTTATATAGGTAAACCTACTTATGTAACAAGAAAAAACCAAGTTTTAACAAATTTATTGAACAAAATGTAACGTAATAATATTAAGTAGACTACAATTGTTTGAAATATAGCTCTACTAATGAGAAGAATGGAATTGCCTGTTATGAGATGACATTTCATCAAACTGAG